AACAACAGCAGCAACAACAAAATCTTTTAAGGTCTCTGTTTTGGCACCCTGGAGCCTATTCCATATAGACTTGCATGCTTAAGGCACTACTAAAACTGTCTGGAATCTCAATACCTCCATTTCTGAAAAACTGAAATGATGTGGGTAGGCCAGTCAATGAAAAGTTTTGACTGACGGTCCATCTGCAGACATGTTAACTACACCAGAATATCTGGGTGGTTCTTGAAGAGAGATTTTGTGTTGCTTCTCTTGTTTATGCCACAATGGGCCATCTTGGGCAAAGATTCGCCAGTTGTCAGGATCATCTTCCAGAAGCTTGCAAGGCCCTGATCCAAGAACGGAGGTGGTTGGGTTGTTTTGCGCCCTTCCGCTCACTTCCCGCCTTCTTTCTCTCTCCATTTGATTGCCGTTGTGTATTTCAGGGACGATGGGCAAGACAACTTGTGATGTTCCATTTCCTTCAGTCTACATCTCTCTCTCCCACCATTGGCTGTGTTGGAAGGGGTAAGCCAAAGCCCCTGTTACTCTTTCTTTGGAAGACAGGATACCTGCTGCAGAGAATAACACCTAAAATGCATGTTGATTTATCACCAGAAATAAGATCAGAAATCAGTTGGCTAAGAGAAGCTCAAAGCTGGATTTTCCTCCGTGTTTTTCACAAGGATGACTTTAAGTTCGGGCTTTCTCTTGGATTGGAAATGGGCATTTCCCAGCATTCGGAGATGAGTATTCTTGCATTTTTTTTACGGAAGAGAGCGCCAGCTTACAAGCCAACTGGGAGCTCAGGAAAACGTAACTCCCCTTCTCCTTGCCACAGTTGTTACACTGCCAACATGGAGTTCGTTATTAAGTGTTGGAGACGTTTGTGACTTTGGATGGCTTAAGCTCTGCACAGAGCTTGTTTTTTGCCCAGAAAATGTCCCATATTCCATTCCTGATGTCTTCCGTTTAAAATATCTTATTTTAGGATGATATTGTCTGGAAAACCTGGAGAGGCACTACGCAGACGGGTCTGTCAGCTTAGAAGTCATCAAGTCACCACCTTAATGATGTCTAAATTGGCTTCTAGCTATGTTAATTGGCATATGCAACTTTTATGCCAAGCATGATCCTCTTTTGTCCTCTTTTCTGATTATGCATCTGCTTTTCAGGGCGCAATTCATAAGTGCCCACCCTCATTTTTGCATAGAATCATGGTTTTAATTTTGCTTCCAATGAGTGGGGGGCAGAGGATGCCTTGGCAGGCGGTGCGGAAATAGCGTCTGGCAGATTTTTAACACAACCCAAACCCAAATACAGCCCAACAGAAGATAGATTCATCAGGGCACAAAGCAGGCCATCATTTCCTGGAAAGGGGATACATTTTTAGGTGGGTACTTGGGAAACTTTCCCAAGACTTAGACTGAGATGTCTCTCACATGTTCTGGACAGTGGTGTCATTTCCACCCAGCCATCACAGCCAACATTTCACAATGTTTTTTTTTCCCATGCAAAAGTGAAAATAGCTTTCTTGCTGAGGTGAACTTTGCTGCACCCTCCCAATGTTGATGTGCTCCCCTTGTCATGACCTCATGGCCACCACTCCAAGCAGAGTCCGAAAAAACAGCAAACCCTGGAGGTGCAGGCTCCAACTCACCCGGGGTTGTTCTTTGGTGAAGCTGTTGGGTCTTAATTGTGTGCTGGAGGCCAGGGCACCCCGAAAAACCTCCTCAGGACAACGGCCAGGACTGTTCTGTTGCAGTAATTCATCTCCTACCAGTCGCCGTGAGAATTGCAGATAAGCTCAGAGGAGCAGGGCATTGGGGACGGGAGACGCGGCACGGCAGGATACACGAGAGGATGGGAACCAGATGCAGCGAGGGGCAGCCACGATGTGGGAGCTGGACCACACCCTGCAGGAAGCCCTGCGCTGCTGAGGCAAAACAGCAAGGCAGGGTGTAGGTCAGGCACCCGGCAGGCACTCCAGCAAGGCAGCAGGGAAAGGCAGGCACCAGGAGCAGGAGCCATTCTGTAAGATGCAGGTGCGGCGGCAAGCAGGAGGACCTGTGCTGCTGGGCAACGTGGCCAGGAGCAGGAAGCTCTGCCTTGCTGAGGCCATTTCTGGAGGGAAAAGCTTGCTTCCATGCAGCTCTTGCCCCAGGACTCCCAGCTGGCACTCCTCACTGGACTGAGAGCTGGGCTTGGGACCGATCCCGCAAATACAGGGGAGGTGATTCCCGTTCTGGCCCCGAGAGCAGCCCAGGTTTTGACAGAGCGTGAGTTGCCCAGAATCACCCAGGGAACCCCGATCGCCCAGGTCCCCTGTCCATCACTCTTAACCACTGTGCCACACGGGCGCCCAACTCCCTTCATTCGTAAGAGGACCGCCTTGCCCGTAAGATGCCATGCGAAACCAGTCATCCGCTATGGGGCACGGCCAAGCAGGATCAAACGGTGCAGGCACCTAAGGGCTTGCGTTAGTCCCCTGGCAGGGGCCTTCCACGGCCTGCTCGACAGCGTGATGTGGCAGCTTCAATCCCACATGAGTCACCTGAGACAAGCACATCAAAAAGGTCTCTTCAGGCAGCACGCAAGAAGCCCTTCGCTCTTTCATGGGCCTTTTTTCGGCATTTATTAACAGACAGGATTTCAGCTTTCTTCTCGGAGTCAGTGTTTATCTTACACGTCCATCACGCAGGGTTTGCAAATGAAGCGGTGTTAAGTGACATGCACCTGAGTCATCAAAACCAGCTTTGAGCTGGCGTCTCATCTTACCACCACAGGCAAAAAAAGGAAAGGGAAGGAAACAGGTGACGCTGCTGGCTGAACTGTAGGTGGGACTCCTTCTCCATCTCAGTGCTGCATTTGCACGTAGCAATGAGTCGGGAAGGGATAGCTTGCTGTGATGCACAAACGACGTGTCTGGTTGGTCACGGTGCATTACCACAGATCTGATCTCAGGTTCCCGCATTTCAGATGGCTTCCCGTTTTCCGGGAAGCCCATTTTTTCTGCCGTTTCTCCATTTCAGCCAGTGAGTTTGGTGGCAAGAGCGGTGGCCACTGTTTTCTGCTGCTTGCCCAGCAGCGGCTGGCCTGCGGGCAGACACCTGCTTTGCTCCCACCCCTCCCTCCCTCCCTCCCTCCCAGGGGGTGCTCCCTGATGCCCATCTGTAGCATCCCGCTCTGCCCCCACAGAGCCAGTTGCCCTTCTCACGTCCCGCTCTGCTCCCTGCCATGCCAGCCTCGTGGGACACACGCCTGAGAGAGAGACGGCGGGCTGATGCGCGTGTGGGCATGTCTGACGAGGCTGGCAAGGGGGCAGAGTGGGGCGATCAGCCTGGCACTGGAGGGAGGGCAGGAGAGCAAGCCCTGGGGCAGCTGGGCCAGTGAATAGACGGACGGGGCTCTGGGGAATATCACACCGCTTGAAGAAATAGCTGGGTCCCTGCCAAGCAACGTGAGGAGCGCGTGAGCTGCCGGGAGGAGCAGATGACACAAGCAGGAGCAGTGCATGCTAGGCTTGGTTCCCAGTCACAGGGGCTGATGGGCTCTGGGATGCCGTTTGAGAGGGAGATGGAGGGCTCTGTGACTCCTCAGGGGAGGTGCTTCACAGCATGTGCGCGCAGCCCTGTGTTTCCTTGGGGCGTTCGAGGAGCTCTCCGTTGTGCCCTTCAATGCTCAGAAGAAAAGCTGCAATGCATAAGGACGCCCTGACTTTCCGACCCTTCCTTGGGCTTTGAGAAAACAGCGAGGGATCTTCCTTGAAAGAGAGATGCAGCGAAGAAGCTGCAGCTATTGCAAACGCCTCCTATGGCTCCGTCCCTCGGCGAGGCTTCCTGACAAAGGAATTCTTGCTGTCTCCCCCACAAGGTACCCCCGCCAGGTGGGCCAAGTTGGAGGCAGCCACAACTGTCCTCAATCATTGACTGGCTTCTCTCTTTTCCAGTTCCAAGGAACACAAGGGTGTGCGCCAGGAATCGGGCATCATGCAGCTTCCCGTGCTCTGCAGCCATTTGCTTGCAAAGGGAACTTAGAAGGGCAAATCCATCTAAGAGTGTAGGGACTGCAGGTGGCGCAGTGGTTTAAACCGCTGTGCTGCTGGGCTGGTTGATCGAAAGGTCGCCGGTTCGAATCTGCACAACGGAGTGAAAAGGTGCCACTTCGGTGGGCAGGTAACAGCGATTCGTGCACCTCGGTGTTTAGTCGTGCCGGCCACATGACCACGGAGACTGTCCGGGACAAACGCTGGCTCCCTCGGCCAGGAAACGGAGATGAGCACCGCCCTTTATCTAAGAGTGCCCTTCGTAGCGCTTCGGTTCACAACACCGAACCAGAGGATGCAAAATGCTCTGAACACAGAAGCGCGCAAAAGCCCTTTCTCTGCCTCTTCCTACATCCCATTTCTGGCTCAGAGCCATCGGCCAAACATAAGTCCCCATCCTGCTCCCTAGTGACTCGTCTCTCTTTCTGCAGTTCTCACTTCTAGAGAGATGAGCAAATGCAGAAGGGGGACTGAAGGATCCACTTTTTTTTCTGGAAAAAAAAGACAAAACAATTCTGGCAGATTTGTGTTCAGTGTTTTTCTCTGAGCGTATTAAAAAGTGCTTATCTGGACTATCAGGGTTTGTTGTTAGAGGGGACTGACGCAAGCCCCAGATAACCCACGATCATGTGATCATGAAGCATCAGCCAAGTATTTTACCCCTTGTCAATTTCCACTCTGTGGTGGAATGCCCCCCCCCCCATCATTGGAGTAGATCTAATTCCTATCTCCACCCCATAATTTGACTTTTGCCCTGCAGAGGTGGATTCTGACATTTGTCCATGAGTTACCCCATAACTTGGCCAGACACATTCTTCAAAACTGAACCTTATGTTTGAAAATTCTGCCAGTTTTTCCTGATTCTGCCTAATATCTTGGAAGCTATGCAGGGTCAGGCCGACTTGAAATCTGGATGGGGGATTTTGGCTAAGGGCAGTAGAGAAATGTAATTAATAATAATAATTTGTCAATGTCCTCCTTCAATCAAGTAATCTTTATTTGCTTAAAATCAAAGGAAATTACTACTCAGCTAGGAAGTTTGCTGGATGACTTTGGGCATAGCCTGCCTCACGGGGTTGTTGTTGTGAGGATAAAACAGAGAAGAGCAGGTGACTCTTGTAAGCTGCCTTGAGTTGCTTGCAACGGGAAAAATACAGCAGCTGAAACTAAACCTAATATTCCTGGTGCAGCCTGAGCAGTACAAAATACTGACTTGCTTTAACTTGTGAATGCAACTAAGGATGATTTTAGCTTTATTAGCAGCTGCATCACACTGCTGGCTCATGTTCAGGTGTTCATACATTAAAGGTGCAATCCAGGAACATTTAATTGCAAAGGTTATCTACTGTTTCCAAATTCCAGAAACACAAAGCTACAATCATTGTTAGGCTGAATACATTGTTTGCATTGTTAGGCAAAGTACAACTTTGGCACGGCGATCTTCGGACAGTCTCAGAGTAAGCTCAGTCCATTGACTTCAGTTCTGATTGGTGTTCAGCATTCAAAACTTCAATCAAAGTTTGGTTGTGCTTGGTAACATACAACTTGCTTCAGCAACAATGATGGGCAACAGGCATGAAATTCCTAAAACACAACCTTGCGTAGTTGAGGTAGAGCACTGCATTTTACAGTCAGGGCAGCTGTGTCCCGGGTTCTGGTAAGAGGTTGTTATTCTCAAACCAGACTTCTCAATCCAGTCAGGTCAGAACAGAAGTTGCTGCCTCTCTGTCCACTTTCCCTTTTACTTCTGTTTCTTATACTAAAAAAAGAAGGAATAAAAAAAGTCAGAGGATTAAGAAAAATAAGCATCATTTGGATAAACTCTTGTATTTTCTTTCTTTTTAAGATTTATATACCTTTGCTTCATACCCGGAGGAGAGCCTTCTCTGCAGTGGTGCCCAGACTATGGAATGCGCTCCCCAGAGAGGCCCACCTGGTGCCGACGTTATACTCCTTCCAGCACCAGGTAAAGACCTTTTTATTCAACCATCTTTTTAACAATTAAGGGTTTTAGACATTTAAAATTTTTTTTTGTTTTCACAGTCACACTTTTATTTTACTATTTTATTTACTATTTTATTTTTTATTTTATAATGTTCAATTTTAGATGTTTTAATAATTGTGGCTTTATTATTGTATTATCAGAATTTTATACTATGTAAGCCATCCCGAGCGCTTGTGCGGAAGGACGGGATACAAATGCTTGTAATAAATAAATGAATAAATAATCTGGGAAACAATTTTAGGGTTGTGTACACAAACATGATACATACTATGCAACAAAATAACCTAAGATTTGAATCTCAAAGAGTAAAATTGGGAGGCATTAATATTATTCCAACAAATTAAAATGCAACCATAGAATTTCTATTATTTTTAATGGCCTGTGTAAATAGGAGTTAATCTGGTGTCAAAAAGAATACAGAAGCTGTCACAGGAGATTAACAAAGTTAACCACAAAGAAAGCCCTCTATTTTTTCCATTACGAATTTACTTCTCTTGCAGAAGAAATATAACGAAGGCCTTTTGTGATAAGTCATTGGCAGACTTAAAACCAACACTGTATAAACATTCACCCAAATCTGAGTTCCATTGATACTCGAGTGTAAATGTGTCATAAATTTATGATTCCCCTTAGTCCCAGTTAGGCAACTCACAATTAAGGAACTTCAACAACAATGTAAAAACGTTAATCCTTCACTGAGAGCAGAATTAAATGCATGGGAGACCCGAAGCTGCAGATTGCAGCTTTCTCCAAGCACTGCCAAATCACAACGTTGTTTGGACTTGGAGTCCCGAGTTCAGGTCAGCACTGTGCCACGAAGCTCTCCGTGCCCTGGGGAACTGTCCATGCAACCTAGTCAGACAGGAATTCCCTGCACCCCAGCAGGACTGGCTGGTGCCCCTTGGCAGGGGAAGCCCACGATGCCATTTTCCCACCAGGAGAAATGTTTTTGCCACTGCTGCTCAATGCCTTTATTCTCTTTGCCGGCATGCAGGTTTCACGGCTGAGCCCAGGCATCATTAGTCGCTCGATGGAGTCCTCTGAAGCAAAATCTTCTCCGGAGGACGGCAGTTGTGATTAAAGGGGAGCCCAGAGAACCTCTAAGGTGTGGCTCCAGTGGCAAATGGCCCCTGCCATCAACAGAGTGCTCGGATTGAGTGGCCCATCCGTAGAAACCAGAATGGCAGAGAAAAACCAGAAAAACTCACTTTTTGCATTACCCAGTTGGCATCCTCAATGGCTCTCTGGATGATTTGCTGAATTCTCTGAGGGTCATCCTCATCTGCATGGACCCGGAAGCTCTGCAAAAACATTGGGCCCCCAAAGCAACCCATTAATTAATGCCAATGCATCCGCGTAACAAGAGCACCCTTCCTAGGGAGTAAGCATCGTTTGACTCCATGGCCCAGTTCGGGCGTAATGATTTGGTCCTGTAAACTCTGTTTTTTGTTGATGGCATCTTAATTGGTGCTCAGAACTAAATCTACTCTTTCTTTCTCCAGAAGCAGAAAGCTGCGCTCAGCAAACCTTGGAAGTCTTGCGCAAGGGCCGAAGGGAAGGGAAGGGAAGAAAGGTGTGAGTACAGCATTCTTGGTCCAACTTATCAGACCAACTTAGTTTACATCTGATCTGTGCCTTCGTTCTGAATAGACACGCACAGAGTTGCAGGAGAAGTCTTTGACCTTTTTTGGCCCATGGGCACATTTGGAATTTCGAAAGAGCGTTGTGGATGCTCTCACAAAATGGCTGCTATGCCGTATGACCATCCAGAGGGCTGGAACGGGACACCAGCCTGCGGGCCTTGCATTAGCACTAGTTACATCACCCATTTGCCTGAGCCAGGGAGGAAGGCAGGTTCCAAGGCCCGCCCTGGCAAAAGCCCATTCTCCCGCTGCCATTGCAAACCCAGAACCCTAACCCAGAACCCTAACCCAGAACCCTAACTCAGCCTGCCTGAGAGTTTCATAAAGCCACCCAGCTGTTCGCTGCAGGGAGCAAAATACTGGGCTTCCGTCTGGTTTGTGCTGCGATTCTCAGGTGCTCTGCACAGCCCTTTTGCTGCAGGTGGCCGCTTCCATACCTGCCGGATGGCGTGCCTGTAGTGATCTTGCACGTTCTTCCCTGGAAGCTCCTTGCAGCAACGGAGCAGGTAGCGGTAAAGCTGCAAAGGCCCCTTCACCACAGGACTCATCTTCCCCAGTCAACTAGCCAAGGAAATAAAGAAATTGTGTAAAATACGAACAAGGTGCTCAAGACGCAATGCCTTATCAGCATAACATATTGGAAGGGGTGTCAGTCGATTGTGGAGTAATTTTCTGTGTTGCTCCACGGGTGGGTGGACAGCTTGTGTCCCTCCACATGGTTTGGCCTGAAGGTTCCATCATTCCTTATAAGCCACTATCTTGGCCATGGCAGATGGGACTTAGAATCAGAGGAGAGTTGGAAGGGGCCAGAGGGCCCCTGGGTCCCACCCCTGCTCAGTGCAGGACTCCCAGTTAAACCATCCCTCTCAGAGGACTCTGGTTGCATCTTGGATGCCTCCAGGGTGGGAAAGCCCACCACCCCCTAGGTCATGGGTTCCATTGCTGTACTCCTCCAAAAGTGAGGAAGTTCTTCCTGTTATCTAGCCGGAACCTGGCTTCTTGCAACTTGAGCCCATTATTCTGCATCCTGCACTCCAGGATGATGGAAGAGAGATCCTGGCCTTCCTCTTTGTGACAGCCATACAAGGACTTGTGGAGTGATATCCCATCGCCCCTCAGTCTTCCCTTCTTGAAGATGGGGAGGTTAGTCCTTCTGCAGTTGTCTGGCACTTCCCTGCCCTCCATGATTTCTCAGAGATAATTGATGGTGGTTCTGAGAAGTCTTCTTCCAGCTCCTAGATGAAGCTCATTGAGGTCTGGAGAGCTGAACTCATTCCACCCAATTAGAGGATCCTCCACCACTTGCCTGCCAATCTTTCTCTGTCATCCTGCTCCTTCAGCCTGTACTTCCCCTTCATCAGGAAGATGATAAATCTTCTTTTAGGAAAAGGCCGAGCCAGAGCAGAAATTGCACACTTCTGCCTTTTTCCTGTAAACTGTTCTCATTTTACCATCCTGTTTCTTTCCTCTGTCTTTTGCTTTGGACATAAAGTATGTGTGTATACATAGCTGTCTGTACTCTGAGGTGACCACTTGAAGGTTTTAAATTTTATAACAGGCCTGCAGGGTAGCTAAGTAGTAAATAGCTGGATATAAGAGAGAGAGAGTGGTGTAGTGGTTAAGAGCATGGGACTGGGACTCAGGCAATCCGGGTTGGAGTCCTCGCTTGACCATGGAGCCAACCGGGTGACTTTGGGTCAGTTAAAGACTCTCAGCCCAGCCTCCCTCACAGGGTTGTTGTTGTGGGAATAAAGTTGAGAGCAGGAAGAGGAGTTCAGTGTAAGAATAAGCGGGATATAAATCTAATAAATAAGATGCTTAATCACAAGCAGGGCTGCTAGGCTTGCCTCTCTTGGGAGTGACGCACAAACCTTTATCAGGAACCTGCTGTGAGAGCCATTATGGTGTGGGTGCTGGTCCAGCTGAGTAACTGACCCGTAGGCCACCAAAATTCAAAGCAACAGCAAAATTCAGCTTCTAAACCAGCTCAATTTCTCCCTTTTTCTCCCTGGTTTGCTGTTGGATTTTTGCTGGTTGTTGTTTTTGCCATTGCTACCTCTGAGCATCTCAATTTCTGTGATACAGCAGTGGAAATGTGGCCCCCATCTAGAAATACCTGGGAAATACCAGGTTCGAAACTCCTGGCCATACATGAAGCTGACTTGGCTTTTAGGTGCCGGCTCACTCAAGGCTAGTCCATCCTACCTCGCAAGGATGTTGCGTCTTGTGTGGATGAAATGGAGGGCGAGAGCCCATAGATGCTGACTCAGGCTGCTTGGAGGAAGGTGGGGGAACTCAGATGTAATAAACAAAGGCATTTCATAACATGAAACCTGGAAAACAATCCGTCACGCTGAAGTTCCACATGATTTGAAAAATTCTTTAAGCTGTATCAGCTTTTGCTCCCAGTGCAGATTCAGAGGCATGTCAGAACTTGGAAGGGCTTTCTGTCATTGAAAGAGTGCTCATTAAGATTTCAGTTTAACAGCTGAATTACCTTCTGTTGAACACCTCAAAATTAACTAAGCGGTGCGGTTATTATCTTTAAGACGCACTCTGCAACTAAGTCGGCCTCAGTTCACACACCTGTGCCACAAGCTGATTTCTGTCTGCTCTCTGTCCCGGTTGTTTACTGCGCATTGGTGCAATTCTATGTGCTTTCATGGACAATTGACCTTCTGCGGGTTCTCTGCTGTGCGGAGTTTCATCTGTCATGCTGGCTTTAGAGGTTTTCATACCTTGAAATCACCAATTCACATGACATGCACACCCGCCAGCTAATTTTTTATTCATGACTCATGATTACAAAAGGTCAGGGAGTGTGGAAAAGCTCATAAACTCTGGGGGTCCTTGGAATGTGTGTGTGTGCATGGAACACGTTGCAGGAAAGATAAAAAGCAGAACCCCAGGTAGCGCTTCTTGTACATGTTCTTGGAAAGCTCTTGCTCAGTTTAGCTGACTGTATTTTATTTATTTTTTATTTATTTAAAACATTTGTATGCTGCCCACTGCTCCACAGAACCTCTAGGTGGCTCACAATCAGACATCAAAACCATTATGAGACTAATTATACAGCTAAAAACATCACTGTGCTAAATCCATAAAACAGTATCAGTTAAAATACAGATGAAATACAAAAGACAGTTTAGCAGCATCAAATATTAAAACGGTTTCGAACTCTTTATAATTACCTTTAAATTATTTTAAGATTTCTATTGCACGTTGTTTGCATTTTATTCTTTTGTTTTATACATGGCTGTGAACTGCTCGGAGAACTTCTGCTATGGGGCAGTATACAAACGAAATTAATAATAATTGGTGTGGCTTCCAAGTCAGTATGAATAGGTTTGCCACCTATTTGTATTATTAGTTTTGCATTACATTTGTGCCTTGCTTTCTTCCTCTGGCAATGAACGCATTGCGGCTCACAACATTCAATTGCGGCTCACAACATTCATTGTATCCTCCTAACAACCCGGTCAGAGAGTGACCAACTGGCCCAAAGTCACCCGGTGACCCTTACTGATTTGACTTATACCCCACTTGTTTTCCAATGAGCTCAAAGCGGCTTACATCATTCTCCTCCTCCCCCCCGCTCTCAGATTATCCCCAACACCCACCCTGCGAGGTAGGCTGGGCTGAGAGACTGTGACTGGCCCAAAGTCCCCCGGTTGGCTCCACGGCCCTGCAGGGACTCGAACCCGGGTCGCCTGAGCCCCAATGCACTGCTCTAACCTCCCCACCGGCTCAGTTTCTCCCCCTGTGCGAGGGGCCCCATTGCAACGCACCCGCCGACCCGCTCCCCTTTCTTTGCATCTCGCCCTTACCGAGCAGCCAGACGCCCTGCGGCGCATGCGCACTCCTGCCAGTGTGGGACGCCTTCCCGGGGTTCCGCCTTCGCTCCCAGAGATAAGAAATAGTAGAGCCGCACGTTCCCTCGATCGGATAGGAAACCCTCGGATTCTCAAAGGAAAACGCTTTTCCTCCCACGTGTGCGTGCGTGTGTGTGTCCCCGGGGGATTTTCCAGAGGAAAGTGGGTCCAAGAGGGCAGCGTCAGTCTTTGCAGGGCTGCCATGAGAGCCAACCCGAATGTCCCATGCATTGCTTTTCCTCTGTCTAGTTTGCAGAATGTGAGAAAGAGCTGACCCATGCAGCTTTGCAATGCGAGTACGCCCCGGGCGGACTTGGACGGGCAGATGGTGGATTGTAACAGCCCTGCAGGGTAGTCCTGTTCATATTGAAGAGAGGGTCCGGGTCAGATGAGCCTGGTTTGAGTGCCGGCCCCCATTCTGACCCGAATCCAGCATTCAACGCCATGCGGAAGACTCCACTCCAATGACTTGCATGCAGCCACATTGCAGTTTTACATGCTAATAAAGATAAAGAGGTGATGAATAGATTCGAGGGACTAGAAGAAGGGGACGGCAAAGAATGAGTGACTAGATGGGGTCACTGGGTGTGGGGCTGGGTGGACTCCAGGAAACAGTGGACAGGAGGGCCTGGCGTGCTGTGGTCCACGGGATGGCGAAGACGTGGGCACGACTTTGTGATGACCAACAAAAACGAACTTAAATCCTCTTTCCGGTTCACCTGACATAAGATCCAAGTTAGTAAAAGCGTGAAAAATAAATAAATAAAATAAAATAAAGTAAACGCCCCCAAAAAGTCGCTGCAGGGTTTTGGAATGCATCTATTCTTGAACCCTCCTAAAACAAAAGCATGGACTTCTCTCTAGTTTTATATTTGCAGCTCTCATTTCTGCCCTTAGAGGTGAGGACGGGAAAGGGAGTTCGATTGCAGCCGGAAGTTTAGACCGCAGGATGCGTTCAGTGCACTGCCCTCTATGTTCTCAAGCCGGCTTTGGGCGGTGAAAGCTCGCCCTCTGGCGGGCAAGTTGCAAAACGTCAGCCAAATGCTCCACTTGTAGGAGGAAGTATATGCCTTGGCTTGTTCGTTCCTATAAAGGCAATGTGACAAGCAGAAATCCAACAGGGAAAGCTTGAGCCTATGGCGCAACTGCTGGCCACGCTCCCATGAGGAGGCCCAGGAGAAGCCTGGTGGCAAACTGGATAGCAATGTAGGGCTTATTCCCAGATGTGTGAGGGTCAGCTGGCACTCTGTGCATGCTTATAGGCACCGTTTCCTTGGTTTGCATTGCAGTCCAACATTAGAAACAGTTTCCACTTTATAATGTATATTTTGTAGTCTGGGACAGATGACTGCTTAGGGCATGAGTAAGCAACCAGAGGACCTATAAGTATTGCGGTTACATTCAGTAGATATAGATATGGAAGGGTTGGATATGACTTAGCAACTAAACAAATACACACACACCACATTGAACTCCATAAGTTGCCTGGGACTAAGGGGGAAGGTCACATATTCCAAAACCATATATAAAATCACTAGGAAATGTCTGTATGGGTGGTTCTTGTTACCACTGAACACGTTCACCACTGGAATTTGACACCTTTCTATTCTCCCTTCTGTATTATGCAGCCATTATTGGAAGGATGACAAGGAAGTTACTAAGTTTCAGCAGGGAGAGGGAACTTTCCCCATGTCCAAAAGTCAAGGTAGTTCCTCAGAGCCCTGCCAAAGCTTTATGGTCCTTGGCTTCTGTGGAAGATAGCCAGGGATAATGGCCCTGAAACTGTTTTCTGCAACTGTTGGTTGGCAGATCGGGTGGATTTGACCTAGTCCTGAATGGGGTTGCACTCCCACAAGGTCCGCAGCTTGGGAGTGCTCCTCGACCCGGAGCTTTCATTGGAAGCTCAGGTGACAGCGGTGGCGAGGAGCGCTTTCCTTCAGCTTCGGCTGATTGATCAGCTGCGCCCCTACCTGGAGTACAACAGCCTGGCGACGGTGACACATGCGCTGGTGACTTCCCGCCTTGACTTCTGTAACGCGCTTTACGTGGGGCTACCCTTGAAGACGGTCCGGATACTTCAATTGGTTCAAAACAGAGCTGCCAGGCTGCTGACGGGGACGGGGCGTTACGTTCACATGACTCCAGTCCTCCGTCAGCTTCCCTGGCTTCCCATTGAAGTCCGGGCCCAATTCAAGGTGTTGGTGATGACCTATCAAGCCCTAAACAGCTTGGGTCCTGGCTACCTGAAGGAGCGCTTGCATCCATATATGCCCGGCCACCCCTTGAGATCTGCGGAAGAGGCCCTTCTCCGGGAACCCTCCGTGAAAGAAATTAGGAGGGTGGGTACTTGGAGGAGGGCTTTCTCAGCGGTGGCGCCTAAGTTATGCAATGCGCTCCCCAGAGAGGTCCGCCTGGCGCCGTCGTTATTTGTTTTTCGGCGCCAGGTGAAGACCTTTTTATTTAAGCATCATTTTAATTGTTAACAATATCTGCTTATTTATCTGGCCAGGGCGACTTCTTTTATATTGTTATTTATTTTATATTGTTAATTTTATATTGTTATTTTTGTATTTTATTGTATTTTATTTTGTGTTGTGAGCTGCCCCGAGGCTTCGGCAAGGGGCGGCATAGAAATGTTTTAATAAGTAAGTAAGTAAGTATATTCCTTAGAGAAGAACTGCTTTTGCTGTGAGAACAGAACTGTTTGCCTTACTGAAGTAGCTTTGAGCACCACCACCCTCTCCCAGGAAAGAAGGCGGGGACTGAGTGTGCTGACAACCTCTGAAAGAGTTAAAACCCATGGCAAAAGGATTTTATCAATCTCTCTAAATCTTTTGTTCTTGGTGCAGGGAAAGGAATTGACTTGTCACTCATCCAAGTACCTTTGGAAGCTCATGGGGCATCCCCTGATCCAGCCAGGGAGCCAATATGGCCTCAGAGAAGGGGAGTGTAAGCTTTCTTGCTTTTGTTTATTTTCTGCAGCCATGTCTCCTCATTGCATTCAGTTCACTGCCCCTTTTTGACACAGATGGTTCTGTTCCTTCCTCGCCTCTGAGGTGGGTTGCCTTGGCTGGACCCAGCTGCTGGGGTTAAAATGCCCTATTTACCTTCTCCTCCTTCCCCTCTCCTGCCAGAGAGAAGAGAGTCGCTGTGGGACAATCAAACGGCAAGGCCGTTGCCCAGAATTCATCAAATGTGCAAAACTGCTACAGTTATCCCTGGCCCAGAGGACAGGTGCTGGGGTCCTGGCAAACTAGCTGACTCCAGTCTAGGATGACCTGTTGGTTAACCCAAAGGTAATAACACGGGACACGGTTTTATAAGGTTCTGGTCCATTGGGCCCAGTCCTGTCTTGCTGAGATGTTTTCAGTTAGGGTTGTTGTTATTATTATTATTAGAACGTTTCTATGCTGCCCCTTGCCGAAGCCTCGGGGCGGCTTACAACACAATAAAATACAATACAAAAATAACAATATAAAATTAATAATATAAAATAAATAAAAAATATAAAAGTTATAAAAGAAGGTATAAAAGAAACATTATAAAAGAAAAGAAGTATCCATCTCTTCCCAACCTAGTACACCACAGATGTGCTGCACTACAAGACCCAGCATCCGTTAGCCATACCGGAGAGCACCCAACTGGGGACCCCCGCCTTAATTATTCCCTGTAAACGCACGCTTGGATCTAAGGGCAGATAAGTAACTGCTGTATGGTTAATGGAGAACCGGCTGCTACAGTTAATATAAACCATGTGAGTTAATGATCAGCGATGCCTCAGCCGTGCTCACGTCTGTGATTAAAGAGAAATAACAGCATATTGAAACTGGAAGGATTTCTAAAAGGAAGGGGGAAATGGAGCAAACAACCCTGGTCGTTTGTGTTAGCTCGGGATTGGAAATTTTATTTATTTATTTTATTTATTAAAACATTTTTATGCCGCCCCATTCGCCGAAGCCTCGGGGCGGCTCACAACAATAAATAAAAATAATTATAATATAAGTTACAATAAATATAAACATTAAAAATCCAAAAAATACAATATAAAATAAGCCACCCTGGCCAGATAAGATCAAATAATACTAACAGTTAAAATGCCGCTTAAATAAAAAGGTCTTCGCCTGGCGCCGAAAAACAAATAACGAAATAGCCGAAATAATGGTTGGAGCTCAGGAAGAGGACCGTGATATGCAAGGACAGGATAGCTG